CACACACACACACACACACGAAAGGAATAGTTAAAAATATAGGAAATTAGATGACATCGGTTGTATACTGTTGAGATTTAGCACATCTTACCTTTTTATAAATTTGCTTTAGATATTCTCTTTTTATTGTTTTTGGTTTTGTTTTGTTTTTGAGACAGGCTTTCACCATGTTCCCACTCTGGCCCAGTCTGAAGGTACAGTACTGTGCCCAGCTCTGATATTTCCATTCTTTTTTTTTGGAAGGCCTTCACATTTCTTGTTTTATATAGTTAGCATGGTCTCTTTCATTGAGTGCATGTTCTGGATAATCCATGGAAGGAAGATCACTTAGTTCAATGTGATGAAGCCGATCTCCTTTGCATTCTGATGGAAACACCGGAGGCTCCTGCTGAGGCTGTATTTCTGGATCAGCCCGAGTCGTTTGAGCACACAGGGAAGAGTGACAACCCTGGCCGAATCTCCTGGGGCGGCTCTGGTAGAGCTGCTGGAGACCCACGCTGCCTCCAGAGGCTGAGGAGGCAAGGGGAGGGATTTCTGTTGTGAACATAAAAGCAGTTCAGCTAATGCTTTCCTCTGCTCTCTCCTCCTTCTTGTCTGAGTTCTGTGTGTCATTCTACGCTGGCTCCTACAAATGTACTAAACACACACACACACACACACACACACACACACACACACACATTTATCCATAAACAAAGATTTAAAATGTTTGCATAAATGGAATCTGCTCTGCCTTACTCTTACAGTGTGCTTTTTTCTACTCATAATGCTTTATTGAGATTAATTCATGTTGCTATGGAGACCCAGCCCATGCCCATCAAACACTGTAATGTACTCTCTCTAGTTCCAATAGGGGACCTCTCTCTCTCTCTCCTTTGCTATTACACACAGAGATGATTGTGGCTTTCTGTGTGTGGCAAGACCAGTCTTCACTGAAGGCCTGTTGTGTCCTCCCTCCTGTGGGCAGGTGGAGACACAAGAGGTGGTGCCTGGTGACTGGGGCTACATGCTCTGGGGCAAAAGCCAAGTGTGGTCCTTACAGGGCTGAGAATCTACAGAGTCCAGGGCCCATCCAGCACAGCTCTCTTCTCCTAGTTGATTTCACACCTCCTGGCTGTGGCCTTCTATGGTGTGGAATCAAAATTCTATTTTATTAATAATTGAGAAACCCAACCTTTATGCGATCCTTAGTCACTGAAAGGGTGAGGTGCTGCGGAAATGGCGCATTCCGGGCCCTGTGCTGTGAGTCGTGCCAGGTCACACCCCATCAGCCAGGCGTCTGGGCTGGAGGCCCCAGGGCGGGGTCACAGGTGTGAGTTCTATATGCCACTCCCGCCTGTCTGCAGTTGTGTGTTGACCTGTGGAGTCAGCGCTGTTCTGCCCCCACCGAGCAGCTGAGAGCACTGTGGAGCCCCAGGTCGCAGGCCACACGGCCAGGAGGGGACCCAGAGTCAAGCCCACGCTGTCTGAGGGCCCAGCTGTTTTCTCTATGGCAGGACAGGCCCAGGTGGGGTCAGCCATGTCTCCCTGCACCCTCTGCCATGTCCCTCAGCAGGCTGCATGAGAGGAAGCCCTGAGCCCAGAGGTTGGAAGAAGCCAGGGGACCTTGCACAGGAGGAGTCGGCTGTGGAATGGGGACCCTGAGCCGGGCTGGGTGGGCTGAGGTGGAAACCAGTAGCTCTGCAATGCTGGCAGGTTGGGCCCAGACTGACTCCAGGACACAGCCCTCCCTTGCTGTACTCTCAGACTGAGGGGTCCCCGCCGTCCCTCCTGTGCTGAGTGGCCTGGCCAGGATCATTGGTGGCGAGGACGCTGTCCCTGGCTCCTGACCCTGGCAGGTGTCCCTGCAGGTGAGATGGGGATCCAGGAATGTGGGGAGCACACCAGGCTGTTGGGCAGGCTGAGGTGTTGCCCAGGCAACAGCTGGGACTGTCCCTTCCTTCCTGCATTCCTTCCTTTCTTCCTTCCCAGTTTGAAAACAGGTCCCACTTCTGCGGGGGCTCCCTCACTGCCCATGCTGGGTGGTCACCGCTGCCCACTGTGATGTCTGGTGAGCAGACTGCCGGGCTCTGCTCTAAGCTTCAGGGCGGTGGGGGGAGGGCATTGGCCCATGCTGTCCCCAACCCCGCCTGTTTCTGCCTAGGCCGACTGACGTGGTGGTGCTTGGGGAGTATGACCTAGGCTCTGATGAAGGGACTGAGCAGGTCCTGGGGATCAAAGAGGTACTGGGCTGGAGGGCAGGAGCTTGTCCCTCAGAGAGGAGTTGTCAGGCTGCTCCAGGAGCTCACTGGGGTTGTGGTTGCCACCCTCAGGTTTTCATACACCCCAACTTTAGCTATGTGACAGCAGACTACGACATCGCCCTGATAAAGCTGGCCTCACCTGCCCAGTGTACTAAGACAGTGTCCCCAGTGTGCCTCCCCTTTGATACTGACGACTTCCCTCCCGGGACCCCGTGTGTCACCACTGGCTGGGGCCGGACAAGGTTCAGCCGTAAGTGTAACTCAGCCTTTCCACAGCAGAGCTGTCCCTGGGCTTGGGGCTTCTAGGGAAGCAGGAATCCTCAGGTGTGTCACAAATAGCTTTTTTTAAATTAAAAATCTATACAATAGCTGGCCCTGATGGCACATGCCCATCATTCCAGCACTCAGGAGGCTGAGGCAGGAGGACTGTTGGGAGTTCAGGCCCAGCCTGGGCTACACAGTGAGTTCAAGGCCAGCTTGAACCACATAGCAAGACCCTGTCTCATAATTAAAAAAATAAACAAAACTGTAAAATTTACAGTTATTATTTTGGAACTAAGGACAAATAAAAAGTTAAAAATCTACCACACAAATAAACTGAGGGCTAATAGAGGTATACTTCACAGAAAGCTCCCAAAGAGAGCCCTAGTCAGGCACAAGGGGACCGTCTGTGGCCTCCCTGTGCCCCACTGTGTGGAGCGTCCAGTAGGGGCATCTGTCCAGGCTTGGAGTGGGCGTAGACATGGGCTGGGTGCAGAGAGGAAGGGTCACCCCACCCCTCCTGTCCTTGCAGCTCCTGAGCCCGCCAGGAAGCTGCAGCAGGCAATCTTTCCTCTTGTGTCCACTGTTGACTGCGAGTGGTACTGGGGCGATGCTATTACTGATCAGAAGATCTGCGCCGGGGGCAATGGC